ATGATGCACATCCATTGCTCATCTTCACTTGTGAAGAAGAACATGATGGTAGACAACATTTCCTTGATGTCCAACTGAGCAGCAGAGAGGACGGTTCACTCAAGAGAGACGTCAGTTTTGTACCGATCTGATACAAAATCAATTTGGTCAGATGCCTCACGAATAGAGCAAGACGGATCTGTACAGATGACTCCCTAGAAAATGAGTTAGGATACATCCAAAATACGCTGGTCCAAATGGGTTATCCTAGTAGATTTGTAAAGAGACACATGAACACCAGGTACAATAAAGAGAAACTGACAACAGTTGAAAAGAAACAACTGTTCATGAAATTGCAATTTAATGGGGACGTGGCTAGCGAAGTCTTACATCTGAGATTATCGAGAGCAATAAAACGGACTTATACTGCTGCCACCCTCTGTTTTTCATTTTTCAACCGACCAATTATGATTGCTCAAGCGAAAGACAAGTTACATAGCTGTGCCACTTTTCTATGTGTATCTATAAATTTAGTTGCTCCTGTGGAGAGAGCTATATAGGGCGAACAACCAGACAGCTTAACAAACGCATTAATGAGCATCTTCCTTCATGGCTTAGGAAAGCTCAAATAAAATCCATAAGAAGTTCTGTTTTGACTCATTTGATTGATAGCGATCACAAAGCGACAGAAGTAGTCCCTTCAACATTATCTGTCGTATTTCATCGAGCCTTTCGAACGGAATTCGAACCCACCTTTTACACATAACCGAAGCTATGGGAATTAATTCGAGGGAACAATCCTAGTCTTCGCATTCACAAGAAGTTTATACTACCTTTGTTTCTTCTCCTTGGCCAAAGTAAATTCTAGTCAAAACCCTCCAACCCTTCCTTATTTTCCATTTCCTTCGTACTTTTATGATATTTATTTAAACTCTGATTATCTATCCACTTCACCCTCAGTGTTACGTAACTTTTGTTATCATTATAATCATCGTTATTAATGACGTTCAAAACATTTACCACATTATTATCATTACCATTATTATTTGATCCACAAAATCACTATCATTGGCTAAAATTTTTTATAAATAAATTTATGTAAATTAGAGTAAAGCCTGAAGAAGATCTAATTGAAAACAATAACACTGTTCATTTAATTGGTGCATGGTGACTAGCAGTGGAATCCAGGATAACGCGCATTTCGTCCTATTTGGGACTCGTCATGCCCAGACATCATCGAAGCATCTGCACAAGAAGCCGACTGACATGTCAACCTGAGACCGAGCACTTCGGTCCAATCAATCGATGGGAAAATCTAAAATTCAGTTAAATAATTAATATGACCCGTTGCACAAGAGACAGTGGCTCTCGTGGCCCAAGTGGTCTAGTGGATAGATAACGCTTTGGCGTTTGAAACTATGGGCACTGGGTTCGAGCCTCGGTGGGAACATCATCATCACTCACTGACTGGGGAATGCAGGTACATCCAGTAGCTGACGAGTCCCAAATAGGACGAAATGCGCGTTATCCTGGATTCCACTGCTAGTCACCATCATCCACCAATTAAATTCTGATTACAAGAAGCCGACATGTTAACCTGAGACCAAGCACTTCGGTCCAATCAATCGAATCGACGGGAAAATCTAAAATTCAACTAAACAACACTGTTCGCTTATATGCCTTATTCGAATAAAGATGTATAGAGAAGCAACAATAACAACAACAACCAAAAATAGAGGACATACAACATTACCTTTCTCTTTTCCATCGTTTAAACTGTCTACGTTCATCTTCAATAACTGATTTCCCTTCATTACTAGCATGTATTTCAAATGAGCATGAAATTAAATTTTCAGCATCTATAATATGTTGAACAATTTGTACAAGTTCATTGAAAAATGAAACATAACTATTTGAGACACCAAAATATTTTTGTGCATCATTCAAGTGTTTTTCACATAATCGTCTAAAGAAGGGAAAAAAAATAATAATTTAATAATATTAATTAATAACGGATAATCATACACACAAATGTTAACCACCTACTTTTGTGCAATAAATGCTTCTTTTTGTAATTTTGCAAATTCAATTAAAAATTTATATAATCTTTCATGAATATTTATTCCATTATCATGATATTTGATGAATTCACTAGCTCTATCCTGTGAAAGATTAAAAAAGAACAAAAAAACAAAGAAGGTTACTCATCAATTATCTCCCTTACAGAGTTCATTCAATACATATACATATATTTTCAAATATTGGTTTTGTAGGGACTGTTTGATTGGATGGAGAATTTCATCATGAGCTGACATCAGTTTGAGGACCACTGGAAAACCTGGAAGTACTGGACAGCTGTTTCGCCCTAGTTTGGGACTTTTCAACTGTCCACTACTCCCAGGTTTTCCAGTGGTTCTCTAACTGATGTCAGCTCACGATGAAATCCTCCATTCAATATATATGTCTGTCTGTCTGGATTCAACATAGAACTTGGCACCGAAGTGCAGCAGTTCCACTCGCCACGTTCCAAATAGCACACAAAGGTAGACAGGAAAATGTGAGAAGAGAATCAATAGAATTTAGATAAGTATAAGAGTGAAACAGAATGCGTAATGGTAGAAAGGAATATGAAAGATTACAGAAACTGAATACATCTGCGTAAGGCATTTACAACGATTTTGAGCCATGTCATCTATTGTCTCCAGCCATTGATTCTTAGTCCCGAGAGCCCCAACCCGGAAGTCTGCATCTCCCTACCTGACTCAGTCTAACTGTTAAGGATTTCATGGATTGATGTCATGTTTTTGTTTGGCCACCACTTACTCTTTTCCAGCCTGCACCTATATCAGCTAGTGGTGCCCATCGGGGGAGACGATGGCTAGGCATGCGCAGCACGTGACCTAGCCATCTCAATCTATGTAACTTTATAGCCTCTTCTATTGATTTTCCCTCTTTGCCCAACACTCTACGCCTAACGTCAGCATTACTTACCTTATTATGCCACCTGACGTGGGAAAGAGATCGTAAACATCTATGATCAAAAACAGTCAACCTTTTCATGTCTTCAACTCGTATTGGCCATGTTTCAGAGCCATAGAGAAGGACGGAGCGAACTGCTGAGCAGTGCACACGTTCCTTGGTTGATAGTCGGATGTCACGCCTACGCCAGAGATGGCGTAAGTTAGCGGAAGCAGCTCGAGCTTTTTGGATCCGTGCTGAGATTTCGTCACCAATCAATCCATTGGTGCTGATACAACTTCCCAAATAGGTGAAGTGGTCAACATTTTCTATCACTTCACTTCCTATCACTAAGCTAGGAGTTGACGTAGACCAGTCCTGTAGCAGCATCTTACATTTTACAGGGACGAATCGCATGCCAAACATACGAAGATTGCTGCTCAAGGTGTTCAGAAGACTCTGCATTTTGTCATATATATATATATATATATACATATATATATATATATATATAAGAAGAGGCAGTTATTGATTCAACATCTTTCATCATTTAGAAAGTAACTGCTTATACATTAATCCGTGGAGTCTTTGACAGTTATTTTGATTCATGTAAGAAGGTGTAGACTGACTGTTTAGAGTTGTTGAAGTGCCAAAAAACTAATGCCTAGAGAATAGTGATGATATGGCTTGAAGTTGTTCTCAATGGAGCCTATGCATTCACTCTTTGGCAAAGTTCAACAACAGCATCCCAAAGGATGCGAACGCACGAGTGACTTCCAGACGACCAATCATAAAAATGAGAAATTTTTGCCCAAAAAATGACGTAAATTTACAAGAAAATGCATGAAAACACATTAAACAGAGTATCTTTCTCTGACATGACTTAAAAATACGTCCTAGTTATATTGAGGAGTATCAGTTGCTAAGTTAGACTAGTTTCTCTACATGTATTCACCGAGGCGACTAATGACGAGCTGTTTTTGTGAATCGTTTATCTCTTTTATCCTGTTGTACTGTCTTCCCCAAAATCCCTCGGTTGAATCACAATGGTTTCTAGTAAAAGGATCGACGACCGCTTACCAGGAAAACGTGGGTAAGAAAACAAATTAAGATGTCATCAACTGTAAATCCATCCACAACAGTAACCCTAACCCTAATTATGACCTTGATCTTAACATTTACCCCAATACTTACCCTTACGAGCTATCAACCCATTGTCCAAACAGTACTTAAAAATGTGATCTGAGTGAAATTTGCTCCTAAGTTTGTGAATAGCGTTGAATATTTCAGCTATGATAATGACAGGGTGCCGTCAGCCAACGACTAGCATGCGTTCAAGGTCATTGTAGAGTTCGCACTCCTGGGAGGCCACTGTTGAACTTCACCCACTCTTTATGATCTCTTATATCCATTAGACACTCATTTCTGTCCATGTTACCATTCTTTTTCCCAGACAATTTTGTTCATTATAATTCTGGATCTCTATGTTTACCTTTATGTGCTACATGTTATGATAACTTGAACTTCTGGATTTCTATGCAACTTTCTCTGTTGAAATTATGTCAATTAGTCACATTTTATAACAGGTATTTTGTTATCTTTTGTTACAATAACCTAAGTGAATACGTAGAGTTAAAGTTAAACTATGATAGCCCCAAAACCACAGTGACCCTGAGTAACTAATCAGAATTGAGAAGCGAAAAAGTCACATAATCATTGAAAAATACACTAAAAAATACTGCGCTAACATGATATTATGCAGTATGATTGTAGCTTATTTGTTGTAAGAATGTCTCCCAGTCACTAAACAGATCTATAGAGAAATCATACAATGAGCGATATATCCATTCATCCAGATAACTGTGGGTGGTGGTACTTTGAGAACCTTTGGTATTTCTGACACTATTCTTCAACCTACTCCTAAATCTAACCATAATCCTAACTTCTAACCCTACCTTTAATCCTAGACTCTTGACCTCAATCTAAAAAGCCACAACCCTACCTAACATTGTACATTTGCAGAGGAAGTACGTGGTAAATGAGTAGAATACTGTATCTATCCTCTCCAAGTCCAAAAAGGCCGGTATGATCTGATTTAGAATGACATTTCATAACATTCCTTGTGTCTGATCGGTCCTTGAAGGTCAGTTTTTGAAGGACCTTGACTATGACACTTTAACTTTGCCGAAATTTTTTTTATTTTTCACATTTTATTGTACTTTACTACTTTCTTCAGTTTGAATCTAACCAATGAAAAATTTCTAAAAAAAAACTACATTTGCTTATTCATTCACGAAGTAGATGTGGCTTTTGACATCTCAACGTCTTACATTTTATTATTAGCTTTCTAATTTACAATGTTCCACTATTCATTATGCAAAATCAATCCAAGTTAGAGTTGTTGAATAAAATTTTAGCTAAATATGACGAATACATTTATTACTTTTTTTATTTGGTCGACTGATCTTATGAAGTCACGATTGAATAATTCACAATTATTACGTTTAAGAACAGTAAAATGAATCTCTAGGATTGTAACGGAAATATAATACATGGAAATATATATGGGAGAAAAAATAAGTACGTGGAGAATAATGAGCTGTATGACCAGTAGTCTCCGGTCATTAGTTCTTAGAGTCTCGAGAACCTCAAACAGGCAGTCTATACCTCCCTAAATAGCCGAGACCAATAGCCAAAGAATTCATTGATTGATATCGTGTCTTTATTTATTCATTTCCAACTCTTTTGCAACCTAATCCTAACATCGGCTTACATGACTCGGCGAGGAAGGCGATAGCTTGATAAGGGCAACACGTGTCCAACCCGGGAAGCAACTATTTGGAACCAGTCACAAACAGTCTGTTTGGACTGGTTTATAGAGCTGCTTCCACGTGAACATCCTACTCACCCAGCCAGGGACCACGACAGGGTAGGTCAGGATATAGAACTTTTGGGGTCGAACTTTCCAACTCCTTATCCCAGTGCTGAAAGCTTGTAGACGGCTTGCTGGTGGTCCAAGGTAAACGGGTTATTGCAGTTACAATCCTACTCGCCAGCATTACTACCGAAACATACTTTACATGATTTAAACTATGCTGGGAAATAGTTTTAGTATAATCAATAAATAAACAACTTTTCTGTCATGGTAGGACTTCACAGAAACAATCCCTCTAGCCGGCATACCTTTTCAGGTAATTGAGATATACAAACCCGACGACGAAGTCAAAGTAACAGCTATCGGGCTGAACTGATTTTTACGCTGCTGTATGATTTGTCTAGTGACAAAAAAATACTTCTGGTAAGTGAGATTCCCATTGTCTCCTTTAAAGCTGATAATTTTAAATAATTACTGACTTCAAGTGATGAATTCAATCGTTCACAGTAGAGATGTGATAAAAGTAAAACACATCGTTGAGAATACTCTATCAATGGTTTACTTTTAGTGGAAGTTCGAAAAGTAAATGAAACACCTCGCTTCAATTTCATCATAAAGTGATGGCATTTGTACTCTCCATAAAATTCTCTAATGCTTAAGGAAAGATATTCCACTATATCAGCAACCCAATGCAATCAAAAACTAAACCATTTTAATCGAAAATATTTATATAACTAAATCTCTGAATTTTACATACAGATTTAACATTAGTTGTGCAATGAACTGGAACACTCCAATTTAGAATTAAAAGATAGGGACATCATCAAATATAGTTTTCTAAACATATTAACTGAAAAGTGGAAATACTTCAGCGTATTTACATCTAAGTGCACAAATGATACGTCAGAAAGTGTTTTTAGTTTCATCACAATGGAACTGACAGTCTTACTTGAATAATCATTTAGTTATTTCGTCTGGTTGAGCTTAAATAAAATCTATTAAGTAATCTAGAATTGTAAAGAGTTTACAAGTTTGTGCCTTTGGTTGAATTAACGTGAACACCTAGACACCAGTGGTTATGCATACACTGTAAAGTGATTAATCTTCTGGACTGTGAAATAAAGCTATTTATAATTGGTTGACAAAATCAGTCTACCCGTAGTAATTTGTGACAGGACTATGATGTAGCCTGAAGTTGTAAGTGGGATATGAAATTATTCTGAAGAATTCTCCGATGAAGTTTGGAATATTCAAGAAAGCCACCTTGACACAATTTGTTAAGAATAAAATGCGATATCATAATTATTTCAATTCCTACATGCTTTTCTCCCTCACTAAAATTTACTTAAGCATAATCCAAAACTTAAGTAGGGACTGTAGAGAAGTATAATAAAGTGGAAAGATGAGAAATTAGAACAGGACATGTGAAGCATAAAATGTCACTGATCTTAGGGGAAAAGGGAGAGACAAAACAACTACCTTTTGCATAGTTTTATTTATCAGTTTTGATGATCACAGAAAACCTTACAAGGGACTTTATAAATCCGTATGAACGCATTTCGATTGCAATTAGAAAGCAACCAAGAACACACAGATTAGAAATCAGCAGGTTTATTTGAGCATAATGCAACATGTTGATATTTTTATCAATTCAGACGATAGCTGTTATGAAATTCATAGACTGAAATCAGCTTTTAGGATGAAAATATCAACTGCACCCACAACCTGTCGGATGCTTTCCCAACTAATTACAAATACATATATGGGGATATCTGTTGTCAGTTAAAGAGTATACGATTTGTGTAACCTTTGGATTAATAGCAATAGACCGTACAAATATTGACTGAAAATATTTAGGTGACAGTTCATCTAACACACTCCATTAATTAGCCGGCTTTAAACACGAAAGATATGAGTATGAACATAACTAATCACGAATGACCAATAAAATACAAACGAAAGCTGAATAAAAACCTGGATTGTGTGGAAGTAAATACGCGCAGTAACAACACTTAGCATTTGAAACAAATGGCACTAGTGGTTAGTTGTATTGTTCTAGAGATTTCCACATATACAAATTATCTCACCATATTTTTATATCAACTTTTATTTGGACTAGAGCATAATTAACTTAACATTACGTTTGCATAGGCTCATGAGCCTATTATAGTAGACTCGAATATACTAGTTACTCTGGGGATTTGACTAACGCAATAGAGAGGGGATCTAATTTCTTTTCCATTGAATCCCTAAACAATGTTCGTTTAGTTTATCACCCGTTCGAAAATACAAAAATCGTTATTTTAGCGAATATCATATACCAAATGCTCAAATTTTTCCAAAATGTTATAGATGAACTTGGTTTGGGCACATAAATTTTAGTTCCGAAAAGTTTAGAGAGTATTTAATGGTTAAAAAGATTACCAAGAAACTTTTGATCAAACTATCACCTTTTAGGCAATATATGGCAATTCGGAAACATGATGCGAAGTTAGGAGTCATAATAAATGAAGTCCAAATAGGTAATTTTTGAGTAGTCCGTCAAGGAGACTCCTGGTTTTCCTGTTTAAAGCCTATCTGTTCTATAATTTTATTTTCATGGTGTAGAATAACCATTCAAACTGCCATGTGGACTCAATTAAACTGTTATTTATTCGTTGAGTAATACATGATGCCAAGAACTGTTGTTAATGAATAAAAACATGAACAGGCGTCCTTCAAATTTAAGGTGTCATTTCGCGTACAAGACGCAGATATGAAATTCAATAAAAAAAGAAGTATAATGTTTACCCAGAGATCCACCCAAGAAGACGACTGAACCATCGTACTACACACGGCTTGTCATTCCAGTGTAACGCTATCGACAAACTGCCGCAACAATGATTCAATTTTGACCTTCCAGTGATTCAATATTCAATTTAGGTTGTTTCTCTCTTATATAAATTACAAAGAGAAAATAGATGCGGAGAAAATTCTCGATTCTCTACGGTGAATGGTGTGCATCGCGACAGCCACATATGAAGATTTCATGAATAACTATTGTTCTGCTGCCGTGAATCATAATAACGGTGGCTATTCAGACTTACGAAGCATGGGACAACATCTTATACAGGAGGTGACTGCGATATTCCGCGCGGTCCCTAAAATTCACCTCATTCTCATCTTCTTGAGCAGAGGAGTAAAAAGAGTGATAAGGGTGAGGTGTCATTATTGATGACAAGTAGGCAAATGTGACACGTTATCTCACCATCTGTACTTCTGCGTCGGTGGCACAGTGGTTAGGACTCTCGCCGACCATGCAAATGGTCCGGGGTTCGATCAATTGCCGACGCACACCCGATATCTATGGTCGGCCTGCAAAATTTGGGCTACCGATATCCATGCTGAAAATTCCATACTTGTAGTGAAAATACGGTGTGGCATCAAGCTGTAATCAAAAATAAAAAGATACTTTACAAATACTTGCTCTCAATCTCAGGTATACATGTACTGGATAAACAAAACTTTCACTCAGCCCTGTCATTCATCCTAAAGTGGAAAACTCAGCTTGTGAAAACACTAAAATTTCAAGACACTAAATATATGGTCATCCCAATTCTGTTTTAATTTCTCTGATGCAGCAGCAACCCAAGCTATCACTCTGGCGAGATCACACATGTCGTAAGCGGATAGCCCTACCCGTAGAATGGGCCTCAAGTTTGGAGGTCAGTGTGGTGACTGGGTTTTAAAAAACCTATATCCCATGAGCTGTTCTCCAGCACGTACTGTGAGCGATGAGGCTACTCGGTAGGTGATAAGCGGATGATAAATAAGGAGTGACGAAAGGAGTAGCCAATTAGAAAAGGCGATTTATATCCATTGCGGTACATTTTCTAAAGAATGGTAATGAACCATGAATACTCTGTGTGTTTGGCTAAGTTTCTTCGCTTGCCTTGCACAACAGCACGCCCACCAAATACATATTCCAGTTTGGCCCATGATCAGGTGAAAAGCATTACGGTAGCAGCAGTAGAGGTAACTGAAGATAGATTAAACAGACGAGACGTTCATCAGATAAATCTATAAGTTAGATTTCTCCCAGTACGTTACAAGTGAATTCAGTACTGATGCCTGTTGTTCTGGCATATTTTCCCATTATGTTGCGTAAATCTTAATCTAGCTAGATTTTCATAACGAATCACTGGATAATTTTAGCCTGAACCCATCCGGAGGGAAGGAATGATATAGTTCACAGAAATCAGTAGTTTCTGGGACCGAAGACGACCCGCTCAATACTTTAGACGGTGCGATCTCGACAGTTCGCAGCCATTAAATCTTTGCGCGATATAGTGGGCATAAAATATGCGGCAGCTGATAATAGTTACATACTGAAACTTCAGGAAAAATAATGCGCAACAAAGCAGATTCGTGACTTTCAAAATTATTCTACACCCTCAAAAGCCTAATAAATCACCTGATACTGCTCGATGTGAATTCGCTACGCGTGTGGTCATGGTATTTTCACACTTTGAGATGAATGTCAAGTTTAGATTCCAGGGATCTAGGTTCTAGTGACGTCACGCCTATCATATCTCCGAAGTCTGGAGTTATCAGGTGGAAACAGATACACTCAAGGAAAAGACCTATATTTATTTCTGAAAACGGTTATTTGAACCTACAATCTTTCGAAATTTGCTCATAGGCAGTGGCTGATGTAGGATCTTTATACATCACAGGACGTTTTATAACCAATAGGGTGGGTGATTAATGAATAAACAAGGAGGAGAAGAGTAACCATATATGAACTATACCTCCTTCGTGCTTTATAAGACTACTAATTTCGGTTGAACTGTGTTGAATGATGAGTGCCCTTCCGTGTCTTTGACTAGACTTTCTATCTTGACGTGCTTATCAGAGCATTTACGAGATATACGCTTTGAATAAACTGCTGTCTTCTAGCTTTATAGGAGGTGTTCTCGAAAAAATAGTTTTCCTATTTATGTAGGACACCAATTTTTCAGGCATGGATGAATATTATTTAAATAACATAACTTTGATTTATGGTGAAATTACATGGTTGCTGTTCTCGAAAAAAATTTTTCAGGCATGGATGAGTATTATTTAAATAACATAACTTTGATTTATGGTGAAATTACATGGTTGCTGTCCTTTTCTGCTAACTAGCCTTTCAGTGGAGTACACTAAGAAATATAGAAATATTGTCTTCGCATTAAGAAAGGAAGCCCAAGTATGTGTTGGATGAATTACAGATACTTGACAAAAAATAAAGCTTGAAGTCAATTCCCCCATATAACTTTGGTATGTGCAGCATCGGATCTTGTTCTTAATTTGTATCCTAATTGGGTATTAATTGAAAATAAGTGATGTATTTGTGTAATTTTGCCAGAAATTTCATCGTAGGTAACACCAGAAGTGAATTGCACTCAGTGGAGACTAGCATTGGTCATTGTCAGGCGGATTTGTTTTACTGCGCTGAGGTCAGCCAAAAACCGCTATTTGTCATTGTATGGTTGTTCTGTACGAGTAAGTTGATTAACATGTAGTATGCTATTTGTAAGCCATTTTAGATCATGGATACTGCTTGCATAGGATACTTTACAGCGTCCTGATATGATGACAGTGGATTTTCAAGGATGCTGAGTCATTACTAGCCAAAATCTTGAAGGGGGATTTATAAGTAAGTGACTTTAATTGTTGCTCAGCTTCAGTCTGATTGTAGATCTGTGCAACTTCTAATACAGGGCAAATAGAGGAGAAGAGGCAAGCAGCAAAATACCAAAGAGGAAAGAAAAAGTATGTGGAGTCGAATATGACCCTAATGTTTGTACTGATATGTTTATATTCGTTGTACGTTGCCATCTGGTAAACATATACACCTTTATTTCTACTCAGTCTTTTTATACATCTCTGCGACTAGTTCATTTATCGTTCATGGTGTAGATAGGGAATTTATGCGGGCCTCTTAGGTACTGTAGTAAACTAATAATTGTTAATGTAATCAGTAGAGTGAAACAGTATGTATAGAGAGCGTTTGAAACTTATAACCGAGGTGCAAACTATGACTTCTAGGGGTAGGCTGTTCCACCTTTTAGAATACATGACTGTGAAAAAGTTCTCGCGGAGTGTTGACTTAAAGGCTTTTATTGTTACTGTGCAAGTTTGGTTACGCAGATCGTAAGAGCCTTCCGGTGAGAATTGTATGTCATTGTCTGAGAATGATATATTGTGTAGGACCTTAGAGAAGAATACTAGGTTTATAATAAGTCGTCTCGCCAAAAGTGGGTCAAGATTTAGAATCATGCACTGTGAGATGTAGTCTTTTTTACAAGCGTAGCCAAATAGTTTGGACGTGAAATATCGTTGGGTACTTTCCATCCTGATCTTGTCACATATGAAAGTGCTGCTAATAATAAATGGATAGTATTCTAATAGTGGCTTTACACATGTTTCGTATAGAAATAGCTTGGCTTCATTGTCGTGGAAGTTCCTGAGTATGCATCCTGAGAGCATCCCCGACTTTCGAGTCTGTGATGCCACTTGCTCAGACAATATCTGGTCACCAGAGTACCTCAGGCCTAAGTCAACAACTTTGTGGTTGTCTTGATAGGGGAGTTGGTTATTTGTGCGTATTTGTGCGTATTTGATTTCACATCATGGCAGGCTTCTGAAAAAGAGATCAAGATTTTTCTAGGAGTCATTCATAAGAGAATTCAGTACAACCCCAAAAGCTGTGTTAGCAGACGTGCTGAAGAGAAGTTTTTCGTCTTGATGAGCTGACATATTGTCGTCTGGAATAGGCGCCTTGGTTCCATAGCTTTTGTGGTTATGTTCATAGTTTCGCACTTACACTTGGGGGATTTACTGCTGCAATTAAAAGTACACACTCAGGAATAGAAAAGGAATTATATCCAACAGTTACAAGACAATTTGTGCAAATATTTGAGAGCACTGATGATGCAAAATCTTAAATCTCTTGTACTTTTTCAAGTGCCCTGCTAGCTGATCACTCGTCTCAGAAAAGACAGCTAACAAATGGTAGTGTGACCGATTTCCAGTGTCCTGACAGTTTGGTGAAAAACGTTTTAGGTAGCTGCATCTACTATAGCAACCGAAACCAACGTGTTGTGATTTGAACTCTGGAAATCAACATTTGAGTCACAGATTTTACATAACCAAGGATTCCTTGAGTTACTTGCAGTCGGAATATATCTTGGTGACATTAAAAAGGCAGTTAATTGCAATAGAATCTGCAGTACTATTTAAAAATAAAAACATGTCAAAACCCAAATTTACCTCAGCAATTCTGCTGGCGGCTATACAGGTCCAGAACTTTCTCAAATGCAAAAAATTACCATACAACAAAATTATTAAATCAGAACCGAACGTAGAAGTACCCGAGAATCAAGAAGAGTATTCCTAACAATGTGGGACCGAAACTGCATCATCAGGAATCACTCACAAAACACTTCTCTCAAACAGTCCATGATCACAACTCCAACGGCCAACTTTATTTTCATTCCAATTAAATCGCATTCGTAGTACAACACGTTATCTATACTATCACACAACCGCAAGAAAGACAAATAACAAGGATTAAGTCAGTAGGTGATATTCAGACTTTAGGACTTTAGGAGAATGGTATATAGTCTTAGAGAAAAGAAGGAATTTATCACAAAATTAGTTAAAATATCTGAATAAGTATCAATGTTGTAATTGGATCGTTTAAGAGCGATTTTCCAAACAATTATTCTGTCACAAATAATACTTAGGTCTGGGTCAGCTCTCACCATATCGTCTAAATAAGTATTGGAAGACCTCAGTCC